GGGGGCAGAGGGGAGAGGGAGCAGAGAGTGCAGAAAGTGTGGGCAGGTCGGGATTTTTTTTTAAGCCACAAGAAAGTCAGTAATTCAAACTATCAAAGGCACCCTGGACTACGCTTCTGAACAATTTTATAAAATGGGTAAACACAAAATGAACAGGAACCCATTTGTACCATTCAGAAAGGTCTCCTGGTCTGGAATGAAGAAAGCTCCCGAGCACATGGCCCCCAACAGCAGAAGCTTGAAGAACCAAAAGCTAGAAAGAAAGAAAAAGAGGAAATGTATTTAAATGATATTCAAGGAAGGACAAAAGGCCTCTTAGAAGGTAAGCATGTCAATCCACGGTTCTGCCATTGGTACTGTTCTCTCCAAATCGAGGGGAAGTAATTAAGTGACTGGAGACTGCCTTTTCCCATAATTAGACAGACTCGGCGTGGCCTCCGATTGTGCAGAACACCATTCTGTGGCAGGGTGGAAATGACCTGGGGAAAGGTCTTGGTACGAGAAATTAACTCTTAGCTTCACTGCATTTCCCATTATGGTACCAGTGTTACCAATAGCATTCCAGTTCTTCGGCCACTGTGCGGTGACAAGTACTAAGTCCCGCCTTCCCTAAAATCGGTGTCAGCAATTTCAACGGCAGGGAGAGCAGTTCGAGGGTCTGATGACTAGAAGGGGTCCGAGACTGCTGCTCTGACTGAGGCCAAGGGAAAGGAAGACCGAAGACTTGCCCGTTGTGAATGTAGGCTCTGCAGCTTTTGCTGTTGCTGATGTTGAAGGTCAGGAGGCAGAAGACAAAGAAGAAACAGGCCATTCCAAAACAGACTCTGTACACTGCAGAGTACCCCACCAGCTTCTCACAGGTGTCCCCAGCTTTAATGCCTTTACAAATGTCTTCGAAAAAAGGAATCTGAGGAAAAGGAGAAAAAAAGTTGTCTGTTAACACTGGGTAAAGGGGGCTGCCGTGAAGTGCTCGTTCAGCCGCAAGTCCAAGTCCAGTGTGGAAATGTGCATAAACAAACATTGAGAAGAAAGGCCCTCTTCCAAAGGCTTTTTCTTAATTTCCTCTGAACCTTTTTTAAAGATACAGTGCTCAGAATGTACCACTTGGCCTTTACTTACCCCAAGTGAATTCTGAAATCCAGCTCAGAATTTTTTAAAATTACACTTGTAATACATGGATATGTTTTTCTTGAAATGCATAAATGTATAGAATAAAAAGTGAGAGACTTCCTTCACTCCTACCCCAAAATGTTACTGACCTCTCCTCAGGAGAGTTAATAATTTGGTGAATATTTTTACTAGTTTACATATAAACTAATGTATACACACCCCATACTTATACATAGCACACACATACATACACTTGTATAGTACCATATACATTACCTCCACACACACACACACACAGCTTTATTAAGTAAAATGGTATATATATTGTCCTGTAATATCTTTTTCCCAATTAACAATAAGCTGTGGCGCCCAGCCGGGCATGGCTCAGCAGTTGAGCGTCGACCTAGGATCCAGGCGATCAGGGTTCGATTCCCAGTCAGGGCACATGCCCAGGTTGTGAGCTTGATCAATGACTCTCTCATCATTGATGTTTCTCTCTCTCCCTCTCCTTTCCTCTCTCTGAAATCAATAAAGATATATTAAAAACAAATAAACAAACAAAACAATAAGCTGTGGCAATCTTTCCCTATTAATACATAAAATCTCACCCTTTTTAACCACCATACAATATTTTATAGTAAGGCTAGATTAAAGTGATAAGCATTCCCACACTGATCTTGTTGGGAAGGTTTCTTGTTTTGTGCATTTATTTTTTGCTATTACAAACACTGATTCACTAACACTGCTGTGCATGCCTTGTGGCACATGTGGCATTATTTATGCAGAATAGGCTCAGACCCAGAAATGGAATCAGTGAGTCAAGAAGTATCTACATTTTAAAATTTCAAGAGATAAAGCCAAATCACACTTTCAGAGGCTGCACCAATTTACATCCCACCAGAAATATCTGAGCCTGCTCATGTTCCCAAGCTGAACACCTAATTTAAAGATGAAAACACTATCTTGTCTCAATGTCCATCTTCCTCCTTACCAGTAAGGTTCACTTCTTTCTTTAAATTTATAGCCCTTTGTATTTTTCTTCGTGAATTGGCTGTTTTTTCTTGATCCATTGGAGCTCTTTATTTATGAGTCTTAACCTTCTCATAAATGTTGACAATTGTTTATTCTAGCCCCACTAGAAGGTCTCAATGTAAAATCTATTCATATTATCAGAATAATTAAAATCTTACATAAGAGAACAAGCAGTACCTTTCTATAGTCAGTGATTTAAAAACTTGCTTATCAACATCAAAGCTGAACACTATTCAGAACAGAAAAAATGTTTAAAATCACATTATAGCCGTCATTCACAAGACAAAAGATAACACAGAGGGGAAAAATGACACAAAGCTGGAGATAAAATTGAAGCACGATAATTTAGTTTCTTCTCCAGAAAAGATCTTAAAGAAACACTAATAACTGAGGCTATTAAGATTTCCATAAACAAAAGAAAAACCAAACTTAATTGGAGTTCAGCTTCCTGAATATGGGTTCCTTCTCCTCAGAAAAGGCCTGCAACAATTACTACCCCTGAATCTCAAACATGTTTTTCCTAAACAGAACATGATTTTCAAAACTACTGCCTCAGGCAAAAATGCAGTTACCGAAACCCTATTAGTATAGTTCCATTTTCATAAACAGACATGAAAGATTTCATAAAGAAATGTCAAACATTTTGTAGTCAGCACATTTTTTTTAGATATGGCAAGACTTAAATGCATAAAGAGACACTACTGTATTTTTGACCAGGCTACCAAACAAAGTAATACACATTTAGGGTTGCCAGAATGTCTAGTTAAATTTAAATTTCAGATAAACAATGACTCATTTTTTAGAATTAGTGTGTCCCATACAGTATTTGGTGCATACTTAGACTAAATATTGCATGGGACATACTTATACTAAAAAAGTATTCCTTTGCAAGGGATGAAGCTCAGAAGAAGGCAGAGTCTTGCGCTGGCATGTGTTGCTCAGTGGTTAGAGTGCTGGCCAATGCACCAAAGGGTTGCGGTCAAGGGCACGCACCTGGGTTGCAGGTTTGATCCCCGGCAGGGGAGAGTGTAATGTGTCTCTTTCACATCAATGTTTCTCTCTCCCCCATCCTCTCTCCCTTCTACTCTCTCTAAAAATCAACAAAAAAGACATCCTCAGGTGAGGACTTAAAAAAAAAAGGCAGGGTCTTGTTGGGGAGGACCAGGTATAGGTCATGCTAAGAAGTCTGGCCTTGTCCTGTGGGCAAGGGGAAACAACTACTTAATATAAGCTGGAATGCCCTTTTTTCTTCTTCTTTTTATTTATTTTTTGTTTTTTTTAAGCTGGAATACCTTTGGCTACAAAGTGGAGACATTGCAAAGGGGACAGGTCTGAGGCAGGAGGGTAAGTTAGAAGGCCACTTTAACAGCCCAGGCAATGGATGAAGAAGGTAAACAGTGGCAGGGATAATAAAAAAAAATTCTGTAGGTAGAAGTCAAGGATGGGGGAGGGTTCTCTTCTGCTTTAACACGCTGCTGTTTAGGGTGGAGGGGAGTAGGGTTAGCCAGGGCAAAGAGCGGAACTGGAAGAACAGGCCCGGAGTTTGTTTTTAACAGAGTTGGGGACCTCCTGGATCCAAAACTGCTTCAGACCAATTAGCTTGAACACAAGGAAACCAGAAGTGACCGTGCAGGTAATGAGAGGAGTCAGGAAGTACTTTCTGAAGGAGTCTAAATTTTCACAGGGTTAAAATCTTCAGATACTGAAGTAATGGGGCACCCCAAACAAAGTGAACGTTTCAGAACCTCTAACAGGAAACAAACGCTACACCCATGAGTGATGCCAGTAACAAGGAGCTAATATTGCTTCAAATCTGTAGGAGCTATATTCACCCCACCTCACTCAACAGGCTGTTTAATTTGTATGGGATTTATTGCTCTATAAAAGTCTTTCAAATATTTTCTTCCCTCCCCTCTCTCTTCCACTCTATCAGCAAAGCTAATTTCTCACACACACCCCCAACCACCTGTAACACTTTAATCTACACCAGCTCATCTTTCACCTTCAGGCTCTTCTTCACCTCCTGCCCCAAACCTACTTCTCTCCTTCTAAGTCCATTTTAAGAAGAATGCTAACGCCAGTAGGCCTGAGCTCCTATCCAATCATCCCCTACAAATGTCCTCCCTTATTGACTCCCAGAGGCCCTTAGGCTCACCGAAGGGTGAGTATGTGGCATGGCATATTTTATCCAAAATAAAAGTAGGCAAACAACCCCCTGCTCCAAATACTAAGGCCTGCTTTATGCTCTGTGGGTGACTTAGTCATTTAGCTTTCAGTAAGTAGTGAGTATTTTTAGGCAAAGAACTTCGAATTGAAGAAGCTGGCAGGATTTAGCAAGGGGAATTTGCTCTGATTCAATATTTGCTGTTCCAAACTCCATCCCAGTTTTGGAAAAAGAAAACATACATCACACACAGATTCCACACTGTGGGGTGAAGGGGATGGGCCTGCCAAGGGTGTTGCCTCTGAAACTTGGCTCTGGGCGTCCAAGGACACTGTATCCACTTTGGTTCTTTACAGATGTGAGGGCCAGGGGCTTCCTCCCAACCCTCAAGGCCACAAACTATCAGTAAAAATAAAACAGCTCACTTCCAATCCTAACTCCGCCACTAACTTGGGCAAATTACACGGCCTCCTGAGCCTCAATGTCCCTTTTCGTACAATGAAATAATACTGCCACCCCGTACACCTGAAACTAATATAAAATAATGCTGAATATCAACTGTAATGGAAAAAATAAAAATAAATAAAAATTAAATACTGGCACCCACCTCATGAAGTTGCCCTGAGAATTAAATCAGTTAATTCTTGTAAAGTACTTACCATAGTTCCTAATCCATAATATCCATTAAGTAAACTTCCTAAATTCTGAGGTACTATCTTTTTGTAAAAAGAACCTGGGGAAGGGAGTCAGGCACATGACATGAACCACTGACTGGCTGATGCATCCTGATATAAACATGGCGGGAAAGGAGCATCTCAGAACTGCACAGATACTCTGTTCATGTTCCCAAAGGATTCAAATTGAAAGATACAGTATTCACTTACTTGTCTGCCCAAGACCCAAAAGAATATAACTGAACTCCCAAATCATGGAAGAGATGTCCAAAACATCAACACAAGTAATCAATTCAAAAGGACGGGGGCTAGGGGAAAATCCACATAATTTGTGTACACAGGAGAAATGAGAGTTATGCCCCGAAAACAAATAAATTATGCCCATCTTAGGCAAATAAATATACAGAGCTACGGAAAGGCCTACTGATCTAGTTGGCCACAGGCCCAGATGCTGTGAATTTAGAAATGAAGTATAGACTTTGGGAGTGATTCTTATGGAAATGGAGAAGATGAGAGTCATGTTCCTGTAATATCAAAACATTATTTGGGAGAGATGAGAACATGGCATATTAACAACACTAATGATTCGTACATTCCATTATATAAAATTTCTAGGGCATTGAATGAAGCTAAGATGCAAAGAAAGCTTTGGGCAGCTCAGCAAGAGTAATGTCACGAAAACTAGAAGAACTAGATCCGCACATTCTGTTTAACGTCCCTTCCTTGAAAATGAATTTCAGAGAGCCTCTCTCAGTCTGCCTCTCCCTTTCTGATATTCTGCTTGTCCTCAGACTTTCTAAGGCAACTCATTTTTCCCTGTGGGCCCATGACTGTGATGCCTGTGTGTTACCCAGCAATGGACAGAGCTGTGAAATGGGGAAAGCTGAAATCAGCTTCCATCCCCCCCGCAGACAGCTTCTAGGCAAC